GAAGGAGTTTGCAGATGTGCAGCTGGAACACAAAACCCAGCTTCTTTATAGGGCTACACCTTGACAAAGAGGCAAGTCCATCCGTGCTTGCAAAGACAGGAAAACTCTGCTTCATGCAAAAGCCTGACTGTGAACCATCCAGGCTGCATTTTGCTGCAGGGATGGAGCAACTTCRCATGTCCACAGTGGGAGAAGCAGATGGTGAAAGAAGGGTGGACAGATGAATGGGTAAATCTCAAGGAGCTGAGCAATTCCTTAAAGGGCATGTTTGTCTTTTATGCCAACCACACAGAAACCACAGACAGCATATGCAGTCCAATCAATAAGAGTTCCTGTTCAGGGGATGAAAATATCCACAGCAACCCACCAATGAAATTGATAAGCCAATTTCCTTTGGAAATTTCCTTTTTATATTTCCAGTTTAGAAAATATATCTATTGGTATCTCTTAGTACAGGAAAATAGTGAAAAACCTATTTGTCTTTTGAACTTGTTCTCAGTTATTTTTCTTATGTCCATCAGACTTAAGAAAGTGCAGACATTCCCTAAGGAGGGTCACTACACCCAATTGCAGCAAAGTTTGCTAAAATGCATACTAAAAAATCATGGCTGTCAATAACAGTTTTCTAAGCTAATTCTGGTCACAGTAACTATGTCACTCCTACAGATTCTGTTGCAAGATGACATTAAGCTATTTCTGATCGAAGCTGTTGCATGCCCTGAGGAAATCCCTGCTTTCAAGCTGAATTTGAGAGGAATTACAATTTCCATACAAGTAGCACATAACAACACTCCCTCTCTCATAACGCATATGAAGAGAGAAGAGAGGACAACACTCTTCACACAAGATATTATTTAAAGTGCATTATAAAACTGCACATAAAATACAGGTTTCCATAGAACAGGACAAGGCTCCTTTAGAGCTCAGTAAAATTTAGTATTGTCATTATCAGGGTTATTTTTTTTTATTTATTTTTTTGACCGACTTTTAGTTTGCAAGGAAAAATGAGATAGCACAAAAGCAATTTGGCATTCCCCCTTGTGACCCAAGAGGCAAAAAAACAGAGCCACACACGTGGCAGTTGCACATTTATTGTGTAACACTTCTGGGTTTGACTGCCTGCCTAGGATCATGCAAAAGAACTCAAGCATTTACCAAAGAATTACTTTTTCTCCTAGTCTGCATATCTGCAAATTACCTACCCAAATGATTCTAACTTATAGTCTTCCTGGAAAAAAAAAATCTAGATTTTCTACCAAAGGGTTTTTGGTTTCTTTTTTTTTGCTTGTTTGTTTTGATGCAGCAATTGCACATTTCTGCAAATTCAACACAAAAATACAAAAATCTACCATATGTTTCAGGTGTCCTTAGGAAAATACAGAAAAGTAAGTAAAAAAAAAATATATATATGCTGGGACTTGATTTTGGGAAGAGATGTAATCTTTTCTAGGAAAGAAAGAACTTCTGGATCTCTGATGCTGCCAGGATTAGTTTCCAAACAGTTTTTCTTGTGCCACAGTCATTTTTGGCCTCACACACACTAAATCACACAAATTCCACAAAATAATACTCTGGCTAACCAAGATTACACAAACTATGGAAAGCATAAAAATAAAACCTTGCTCTGTTTTAAAAAAGGGTTTTGTTGACATAGTACRAATTCTTTCATAAGCTAGCTTCTGGGATTAAGAGCCTGGAAAAAAAAATTAAAAAGAAAACCAGAAGGAATTTCTCCATCCCTCAGAGAAATACAGATGAGTTCACTTACATCAAGTGACTCCAAAAGTGTGTGAGGACACAGTGCCCTAGCTCTAAGCCTCATCTCACAAAATGTCCAGCTGTTACTTGCTCACATTTAAATTTCATCTTAAAGCTAAAATGTAGAAAGTAAGATAGAACATCAAGGCCTTAGGGTAGGATGCAAGCTTAGTATCCAAGGTAAGAGAAGAACGGAAGAACAAGTTATTTTGGTCTCAGAAGAACAAAACCTCCCGATATCAATATCATTTGGTCTGGGGCTTCTGCAACTATTGGTAGGGAGGTGTAGGAGAAATCCACACCAAAGCTTTGCAACTGATTAATTTTAACTTTATGCAGTATCTCTCACCAATTTTACAAGACAGTGAAACGCCACTGTTTCATATAAAATCCCCTTAGAACAATCCACTGTGATCCCCAATCTCCCTCAAAAATAACAAACAAGCTTTTTGTGTTGATGCAGCTTGTGGAAATAAACACAATTAGGTCTCATGCTAAAATGAGCAGCATACTAATTGGAAGTGCTGAATCAATTATTTGCCAGGAATTCAGGGCTATCAGCGGTCTGAGATCAAACATCTCTGGTTTTGGTAGTTTATACAGCTTTCACAAATTCCTGATAAGAAATAAGCACAGCAGAGCCACACTGAGCCTCTACTGTACACAGAGACAGATTCCTCTTCTTCCCCACCTCATTTCTTTACATTAAGCTGATTTTGCTTAACTATTTGAAGTGTTCTTATTCCTGCCTCACTGGCATTTTATGAATTCCTGTGGGCTGGATTAAAAAAAAAAAAATGCACAGAATAACCCTTCACCGGTTAGGATCGACATAGAGCCTTTCTGAGGGAACCAGATGTGTCAAAGCTTGTCAGTTCTTAGGCTATAAATCCAAGAGCATTGAACCGACACACGGTGCTCCCAACACCATCTGTCCGGGTGTGGTGTCTGTGCCGAATCCCAAACCCGGGGAGCCCGGCAGCAGCGCAATCCCACGGCTTCGGCGGGAGCAGTGCCCCCTCTGTCCTGGTCTGTGTTTTTCCTGCCTGCTGATGCTGCATGAGAGGGAACGCGAGCTAAAGGTTACCTCATCTCACACATCTCTCAGTTCTATACAGCATCAGTGACTGAATCATTCCCAATCCAGGCATGCCTAGCCAGACCTCTGCTACCTACAGAAAAATCTGCTGCTTCTTGCAAGCACAGAAATGCCAGCTCTGCAATCCTCACAGCAGCATGAACCAGCTTGAAATTTCTAGCATTRATTTCTTCTTTCACATCCTGTAATGTAACTCAGTAGCATGGATTTTCCTTACAAACTTGGTCATGAATCTCATCCTCAACCAGAAAGGAACATTTTAAGAACCAACCTTGGCCTGGGTTTGGGCTGTTTTTGTTTCTCAGTGTTGTCACTAGGTGAGGTTTGAACAGGAAACAATAAATGATTTGTTGAAGTGTGATTTAATTAGAACAGCACAGATGTTTTCATTTCTTTGTCCTATTTTTCAGTAATGCGCATTTCTCTTCTTCCATTAGAGATCAAAATACCTTATGGCTCTGATGTGACCTGCACTTCTCTGCATCTGCTGTCTCTCACCAATTCCCCTTGTAAAAAGCCAAAAGCAAGACAGCTTCACTGGGGCCAGAAATTGCTCTCTCTGAATTGCACACTTCACATTCCCTGGAATACAGGTGCAGCTTTCTTAGCAACTGAATATCTCTGGCAGCTTTGCAACTCTGTGTCCTTAAACTATTAAACACGGGCCTGGCCCAGCTTGCTAAACACCAAAGCAATACATTTCAAAACTCACAAGAACTGTCTCTGGTGCTTCTGTCACCTGTCATACTGCCAAGCAACATCAGAGCACCTTATATTTTTTTCCACTATAAAGACAAGCTTCTTCTTGCAACCAAAGGTAACTATGATCTTCAGTATTTCAATTAAAACCTATCAGACAGTCCTTTTTCTTCACGGGGATGAAGAAGTATTTAAAGAGCCACCCAATATAATTAAAACTCTGAATCTCACTCCCCAAAAGCACCTGTGCTCCTCTCTGAGGTTACAGAGCTGGATCCAGCACATGTAGGCGGGTTTGTACTTAGCTGTTATGTTCAGGTCTCATTTCTGTGGCTCTCATCAACTAAGACAGGAAAGAGAGTTTTAGTTTTGGTTGGTTTGGGGTTTTTTCCTGGCTGTGTTTGGGTTTTTTGGTGCTGTTTGTTTTATGAGGGATTGTTGGTTGTTTTTTTTGGTTGTTTTTTTTTTTTCTGTTGATGATACCAAACACCTCAAGGTTTTGATAGCAAGTTGAGTCCAAGTTGGCAATATTTTTAGGTGTTAATCAGTAGCTATATCTTGACAGTTATGATTAAGCAATCACATTGTGAGCATCATATGTTCGGCTAATCTGCGGTTTTAAGAGAAGAAAATCCCAAAATGAATGAGCTGTCTGAATGAGAGGCCCCAAGAGTGAAGCAGAGCTTAGAAGCACCTGGGGAAATGTAATTCTGGCAGTAGGAGATTGTGACCACCAACTCATTGACCACCTGCTCAAATTGTACCTGAGACTCAAATGGAAGGACGAACTGTGCCTGCAGACTAATTAGCAGGAAAAGCAAGAGACAGAACTAGCAAATAGGGAGGTTGAGTAATTTGTAATCAACGAATGCTGATGCCTTCCTTTGTTAAGACGTATAAATAACGTGACCTTTTGATGACCAGTGGGTTAACTTTCTGTGGGTCACCACCCAGCTCCCCGCTTCGCACAAACGAGAATGAGTAACAGGAATACCTGGCCCTCAGTGTGTGACTTGGGGCTGGCACCAGGTAACGAACCCACATTCRGATCAACGCCGATGCCACGTTTGAACCATGCGCTTCTCCAGCTAGCCCCACCCCAGCTCTGGGCCAATCTGCGATGCCGCCAATTGCTGCCCACAGCGGCCGCTCTCAGCCCAGAGCGCGCCCAGAGCTCTGTCACAGCAGCAGCAGCTCCAGCCCCGCGGCTGCACAGGGACATGTCCAACAGGACGCCTGAAGGATTAGTCCCGCACCTGCCAGAAACGCTCATTTTCACACACAGTTGGAGCACAGGGATTATCCAAAGGCAGGAAAACCCCGGCCGGGAGCGCTCCGCCCCCGCCACACCCCCCCCAGGCCGCGCCCTCATGACCTCGTCTGACCTCCCCAACATGGCGGCGGAGMGTGTCCGCCCGCCCTCACCAGCACTGTCGCGATAGTGCCGCGCTTTCGCCGTGCTTTACGGCAAGGCCGCACAGCGAGGAAGGAGGCGGTGGCGGGGCCGGGTCCGCCATGGACCGGAGGAAGAAGCCGCTGGACGTGGCTGCGTCCTCGGTGAGTGAGCGAACGGGGAGAGGCAAAATGAGCTACTCCACCTCCCCAAGAGGCCTGTAGGGCTGTGGACTGAGCTCAGCCGTGGGGGGCTTCCACAGGCGAGGAGGGCCTGGCCGGCGCAGGCCGTGAGGCTCGGGTGCGCTGGTGGCACCGCTTCCAGGGAAAACAGCACACCTGGGAATTCGTGGTGCTGGTGTTCTGTCCCCTCGCCTTAACACCACTGCGATGTGTAGTCAGTGCAGCAAGTGCTGGATTAAAGGCTGTGGTAACGCCCTGTGTCACATCTCGGGTCTGTGAGAGTTTCGGGGCTGCGGTTTTGTCCCCTCACCTTCCTGATCAGGCACACGCGCTGCTCTCCAAACCCCAGTCTGCCAAGGCTGGATTTGTCCGCATTCATGATGTAATGATAAAATTAAGGCATGAGAGAGATGTGAGTTTCTTTCCTGGTTTTTACTAAAGAGCAGGGGGTCTATGCTGTAGCAGATGAACCTCCCACCCTTAGGGATGGTGAGGTGCTGCCCCTCCCTGCTCACCAGAGATGCCGCCGGACACTTCAGATGAAGAGTTATGTAAATAGTTAACGTAAAATGTGGGTTGTGCATATTYAATTTTTGAATGAATTTTTGGATGATCACCTCTAAGCAGAAGGGAAAATGAATGATTTTCAGTACTGCTTGTCATTGTCCCAGAGACCTAAAAAGCTGGTTCTTTAGTGCTTGAGACAAATATTAATACCAAAGTCTTCCACTTTCCTGATTTAATGTATATCTGTGGAATTTGTCTTCTGTAGGATTTGCAGGAAAAGTGGCACAATATCGTCTTCCAGATTAGTTTTGTAATTACAAGATATCACCCCTGCTGCTAATGTTTCTTAATAAAAGCAGAGATGGGCCTTGGTCAGAGATGGCAGTGCTACTTTTTTTTTAATAAATATATAAGAAGAAGAATGAAAATTTAAATCTGTTGAACAGTATATAAAGCAGTGGGAAACTTTATTTTACAATCACAAACTTTTATCAATTCTGAAACAGGATTTTATTAATTACCTAATGGTTAAAAGTTCCTTTTACATATTCAGTAGTGTTTTTCGCTATTCCTTCCCTCTTTGTTTGCCATTGGGATGCTGGTAAAACCTAGATGAAATTATGCTGCTTTTTTTCTCCTTCTGTAGCAAAGAATCAAGGATATCTTTGGGGATTGTTTTAATCCCTAATCAYAATTTGCATATCAACATGTTAAACACATAAGTGGCTTTTTCTTTTGTTTGCTGTAAAGAGTGATCTTTGTGATCACACCAGTGCTTCAAAGTTCCACATAAAAATGCAATTAAATGCTCATATAACTGTAAATGGTAGTTTGTTTTCCTAGAGATACAATTATTTATTACAGTAACTGATATCTGTGCATGTGATCTGTTTTTATGTGTTGTTTTGCTGGTGATGTAGCTGGTAGATCTCAAAGCTGAACTYTTCCGAAAGCAAGAGGAATTCAAGAAAGAAAAACTATTGAAAGATGCTGGAGTCTTTGCAAARCCCAGAACTTCTAATAAGGTAGAAAAAATCTTCCATTGTTGTCTTTCTCATTTCTTCTTAAAGTAAGGAAGTTAATATTCAAATCTAAATAAATAGTAAATACACAGAGCTGTGTTACTAGTCAAATATAAAATGCTCCTTGGGGAATAGTTATAGGGAAAGTTGGGGTGGGTTGGGTTTTTTTTTTTTGTTTTCTTTTTCCTTTTTTTTTCTGAGGATTTTGTATGATTCTGGATGAGGGAGGATGAGAGATTTTCCAGAATCATTTCCTTGATCGGTGTTCTGCTATGTGTTTGTGGTGTACAATAATGAATACACAATTATCTCTCTTGTTTGGCTCTTTACTGCACTTTGGGTTTTGTTCAYTCTGTAACTTTCTAGAAGCAGAATGCACTGTTCCTGCCACATTTGAAGCACATGCACATTTGCAGTATTATGCTGCAAACAGGCCAGCTGAGTGTATTTTGTATCTAAAATGGAGGTAATGGGGAATAGAAACAATTTGTAGCTTTGTTAGTACATATTTAATCAGAAAGATTGTATGACTGGGTTTTTTAACCTTAACATCTTTGCCAGTATAGATTTAGTTTGATTTCTGTGTTCCTTTGGGTTTTTTAGCTTCTCAGCCTGTCCTTAACTATGACAYCATCCTGCAGCCTGTGTTAATTTAGGATATACCTTTAGTATCCTACAGCACAGGGATAGTGTCAAGTCAAACATGTTTAAAATGTTATTTACAAAGTCTTTCGTGACTGATTTGCAACGGTTGCATTTTGGAGTTGAAATATTTTTTTTAATTGTTACCATTTCAATATTGTCATTTACTTGTTTGTTGTTACAAAATTGTCCTCCACAGAAACCAAGTATCTGGACCAAACAGAACACTGGAGTTGTAAATCGGGCTGCAAAAGATGTTGAGCAGAAGGCGGAAGAGCGGGATATTTTGGATGAATCAAGGTAGCTCTTAGGCTCTGTAAGAAAGGAATGCTTTGGAGGATTTGGTTTTTGGTGTTTGGGAAAGCACAGAAAAAAGCTAAGCACATTTTTGGACCAGCAGTTCTCATTAGACCCACCAGTAAGCCCAGCATCAATTCTGTACTTTTTATCAATACTGTGCAAACTGCATCCCAGCAGTCTCATGCTCTCATGTTATCACAGCTGTCTAAATGTGTCAGGTTACTGATTTTTTTTTTAAAGTCGTCTTCAGAATTACCAGGCAGGGCAGCAACATGTTAGAATCTTTAGCAAAGTGTTTCTTGGGATTGACAGAAAATAGCTCACTTTTTTCCAAAAATTACCTCATTTTCTAAATGGGTTGGTTGTACAGAAAGATACATGTTGAAAATGCCATTTATAAACCATTTGCTGTTCTTCTGTAAGTAATTCCTTGCTCTTTGAAATTCCAGAAATAAGCTAAGGTTTTCTCTTCAGTTTCTAAGATTAAGTGTAACTTYATGTTACCTCTTTTTTATTCTTGTAAAACTGTCTTTCAGTATCTGATACCTACAAATAATGGTTTCATTTCCAGTATTTAACTGACAGACCATAGTACTTGAATAAAGGTAGAATTCTTGTAACATCATGTTTCTGCCTACTTGACAAATTACATTTAAGTTKAATTTTATAACTTGACTAAAATTATTTTCGGCATAAATTCTGGAATTGAATAAGTGTATCTTCAGAAATGCTTGTGAAGGTTCAAAACRAAAGGCAGGCATAAGTCAGCTCCTAAAAACATCTCAAGCACTTCCAGTATTTTCCTGTTCCATTTATCTAAGGCTAAATTGGTCACTTTAAACTGTGCTTGGAATTTGTGGGATTGCAACGTTATTTTTTTTTCTTTTTCAGGAGGAAGCTTGAAGAGAAAGCAAAGCTGTATGAGAAAATGACAAAAGGAGACTTCCCAGGTGAACAATACTGTTCCCAAATGAGTATTTATATATGTATAAACTCTTGGAGTTATTCTACAAAGTGACTGACACCGTTTATTCTGCTTTGAAAGGAAAAAAAAATATATTTATGAGAGAAAATAAAATTAGTTTTGAAGAACAGCCTGACCTAGTAAAGCACTAAGGGTTTTGTTTCACTCATTCATTAAGTGGGTGAACTATATTCTGTTTTTTCAATACAGTATCTTAGAAAAACAAAATTAATTTGTTCTCCATTGTACAATTTTTGGATTTCATTGCTGATATTCTGTTCTGCGTTCTAATTCTTGGACCTTTATGAGAAGAGGATCAGGAGAAGAGTCTGGCTGGTCTATATGTGAATGCCAGTCATGCAGCTAATAGAGTTAGAGAATGCTAATCTTTCCTTTTCTCACACGTTCAGTCCCTTGCAAGAAGTAATTATTAAAATAGAATACAAATCCACTTGTAACTAATCTGTTTTCTTTACTGGTGTCCATCTTTGTCCATATAACCCCACCACTTTCCTCTACTTTTCTAAAAGAGAACTGCATGAATGCTTAGCTCCTGCCAATATACCAAATATTAAACATCCAAAGAGTATTTCAGCTGTTACATGACAAACCCTTTGCTTCTGAAATAGTTAATGAGCAGAGAAYGTTTTGCTGCAAAGAATGCAGCCTTTTCTGAACTGCACACAATGCCCTGAAACTTCAATTCAGAAAYAGACATTATCACTGTGGAGCCAGTTGATAGCTCTGCGTTTGTTTGACACTGAATGAGATTTAAGTACTCCCCTATAGTGTGGTCAAGGGCATTGCTGGCAGCTGAAAAGCTGATTGCAGCTATTTGGTATTGATTTTTTACTCAGCTCTTTTCTTTTCATGGCTGTTCTCTAAGAATCGATTTTCTGCCTTAGATGAAGAAACTGAGGATTTGTACCTGGTGGATTTCACTCAGAAGATCATAGACAAACAGCACGAAATACAGGAGCTGCATCAGAGCGAAGCTGCTGGGAAAACTTCAGAAAGAGACACAGATGAGGAGGAAACTCAGCTTGAWGCAGACATTCCACCACCAGAGGATCCAGATGAGGAATGGTTGGTGCTACAGATTGGGCTTAGCTTTTCTGGCTGCTGTGGTTCTTGGCAATTGCAGGAGGAAATAATTTTATTTCCAAAGTGTGTGAAATGGCACCTTTGTTTTTTTATGTGATGCTACACTATGATTATAAGGTGTTTACAGTCCTTCCTGTCARTTTTCTTTCCACATAGGTAACATTACATTAGAATCTACATCCAGGATTTTGAGAAATTGCAATCAGGGCAATGTACTGTAGGGGAGACAACATAATATCCTCTCTTAGTTTCTTGTGTAGTTTATGTGAGTATGCATCAGAGTATTGGTACAATTTTATGCTCTGATGAGCTSAATTGAAATGTATTTTAGCAAAACTTGGGGATTTTATGTTATTTATTTTCCCTTCTCTAATTGTGTGTGACTTAGAGAATGAGCAGTCATTTCATTATACGACCTTCTCTTAAAAGAGAGAAACTGTGATTGGAATAAGAACACAATTTTCAGCATTTCTTCCGCTGTTTAGCTGCAGCACAGCAAATTGTTTCTGACAGTTTTCTGTGTCATTCCAAGTTGCCACTAGTTTTTCATCCAAGACATCAGGAATAACTATGAAACCAGTCATTTTCCTTGCCCATTTGTTTAAAATGCTTATGCAACAAGAGATTTTACTTCTGGTAATCAGTTTAAACCAGCAGTAACCAATACAAAACAGCTCCCCAGTTCTTCAAATACTAAACTGTAGATATCCTTAAAAACCGTGTAGAAGACTTAGTAAAAGCACAGATCTTTAAAAGTCTGGAGTTGGAGAGCTAAACTGTCATCCTTTTTGAGATGTAATATTCTTTAGAGTGGGATAATTGAGGCAAGTTGCTGCTAAAGAACTTTTCTACATTACAGGACAATAAGTGTAGCTCTTAACAGCTTTTTCAACAACTGTAAATCAGGTGTTCAGTACCATAAAGAGTTGAGTAAGAAGCACAATAGCTTCAAAGGAACATTTTGCTTGTTTTTTAGTCAGCCTTTGTTACGCCAGTTGAATGCACACTGTCAGCCTATTTTGAATGGTCTTTAGACCGATAATTGAAATATATTGTAGCAATTTCATATCCACAAGAAGTCAATGCTGCCTCATTATCTTCACCATGGGAAGCAAGCAGTAGGCTGAGTTCTATTTTGTTGTGAAAACTATGTGACATTGTTACTTTTGAGTATTTTTACACTGCTTTGTTGCCAAGTCCAAGAGGGGGCTCAAAGAGAGATTGAATAAATGTCTGATAGAAGTGTCATGTGCCCCATTCAGAACTGTCCTCTTAACCTGGGRGTGTGTTAAGTGAAAAGCAGGAGCAACTGTCACACACAGAGACTGAGAGGTGATGAAAATCTTTTGAAAGTGTATTACTGCTTCTGTCTTTTAGTTAAGACTTCTGTAAATCTGCAAATAGAAGTTTTGGGTCAGTTTTTTTTTTCTTTCACTACAGGGTTGATTATGTCGATTTCTTGGGCCGATCTAGACGCTGTATGAAGAAGGATTTGCCAAGTCTGCTTAAAATGGATCAGGARCTTCAAGGGAAAAGGTGTGGTTTCTCTAATGGAGTTAGATGTTCCTCTCAGTATTTAATATGTATTTTTTAATGAGAAGGAAGAGAGGATGTGCTTTGTCACACATTCTCAATCCAGAGTTGGGGATGGTACTGCTTTCTCTAGATTTGCGTTGGTTGCASAGAAARGTTTTAATAAATTGAYGCAGCAATCTCAAATACTTGTTGCATCTCTTAAAAATGGGATCCTTGTATGGACATTTTATTTTATTTTATTATACCTTCTGTAAAATGCCAGGAAGGTGATTCCTGGTTCTGTGTAACCTGGAAACTGATGATAGTCCTTCCGCAATTCCAAATTCCTCCTGATATTCAAATTGAATTTGTTAGACCTCCCTTTGTTTGGGTTTGCTCTTCTGTTAAACAGCTGTTTAACAGCTCWTCTGTTAAAATTACTTCCTTAGGAATAGTTGAGTATTAATATTTTGCATGGATCTCATGGGTAAATGCCTAGCTTTTTGTTACTTTAAATACCTTTCACTTTCTTATGTCAAATSTGAAATGTTATGTGATTGCTGGAATCCCCACTGATGCCAATAACTGATTATTTCAACTCCCATTCTGTAATTTGATAATTATTTCATAAAGCTTCTGAAAAAGGATATGATTTTATTTGTCTTTTAATAAGATGTTCTACCAGTACCTTGTTTTAGAGGTAACTTTGTATTTGTTTTGACCATGTACCACAGTCATTGTTGTATCACCAAGTGGTGCTTATAATGATCTGTGTTCTGTGAAAACTGCAATACTGAATCAGACCCAATCATACTTGTACTGTTTGGTACTGTAAAACTGGTAAATTCTGCTCTGTCATCCCTATTTTTTTAAATTAGACAAGAACCCGATGGGAATACTCTGTTATCTGAAGACATGAGAAGAGAACTTCAGAGGCAGCAGTGGGAAAAGGAAGAAGAAGAAGCYCTCAGAAAACCCATGGGACCCATACATTATGAGGACATTCGAGAAAATGGTACACTGCCATACTTTATATGCCTTACCTTTGTATCACCAAAGAGATCAGTTGTAGAGGGAGCAGGGGAGAGTCACTTCCTGTGCCTGTATAGCAAAGTGTAGGTAYATGTTAAGCCACATGTGTGATAACTGTTGAAAGTTGCCAGGACATAAGCCTAGATTTATTTTTTCTTCAAATTGTATTTTTTCTCAAATGTCTTTTCCAAATTTCTCTATCTGTGTTCTCCTTTGGGAAGCTTCACTGTATGCATCAGCTCACACAAGGCATTTTTAGCCAWCTGAAACTAACGCAGTATATGTTGGGAATAATTCCATGCCTGAAAGGAGRGTGCCTGGAGCCTGTAGTTATTGTCAATTATAAACTGAATGTAACTTAAATTTTCTCCTTTTCAGAGGCCAGGCAGCTTGGTGTTGGTTACTTTGCCTTTTCTCGGGACCAAGAACTCAGGCATAAACAACGGGCAACCCTGGATATGCTGAGGGAGCAGGTATGAGAATAAAGAGCAAACTGGGCTATGAGGGCAGCATGGTTACTGTCTTTGGTTTGTTGTATGATTATTATTTTAGATGATGCCTGACTCCAGAGAAATMTAGCTGCTTTTTTCCTGTTGAAACCTGGTACTGGATTAGGATTACTTTTAGTTGTTTTGTGAAAGAAGATATGTACTTGTTTATGATAACAAAGGAAGATTAATTCATGTTTTTCTTTGCTGTTAAGACACTTGATCAGAGAAATAAGCGTGAACAGCTGAAGGAGAAGAGGAAGGCAGCTCTAGATGCAAGGCTGTCCAAACTTCGAGCACGGAAGATTAAAAAATTAAGGGAAGCTGGATTAGAGGAAGAGGCAGAGAAACTGGAGAATGGAGGTATGATCTGCTGCCTTTTTAAGTTAAATACTTGCTATTTCCCCTTGTTCTTGATGTATGGACCAGCAGACTCTAATTTATATTTATGTCTGGACATCCAATATATTGGTATTTTGTGTCCTATATATGCAATTAGCAAACTGTTAGGATAGTGAGAGTTGATGTAATTGTGTGTAAATATAAAATCATGCCAGAAGTAGCTTAATATCGGATGGAAAAGTATGGTGTGTTGATTGTAGCTTTTTTTAAATTCCCACCTGACAGCAAGAATTACATGGGTTAATTGTGCAGGTTGAAGTTAGAGCTGCTGACGTTGTGCTGGCTTTTTTCTTTTATTAAGATGAGGTAGAATAAGTAGTAACAAGTCAATTTTGATATCATGCAATGTACATTGTAACAGTTTCAGTGCAGTCTATAAATTGGAGATACAGCTGACTTGAGGATTTAGGATAATGAATTTGAATTCTAATCCTGTCTCTCTGCTGTCTCCCTTATGACACTGATAGCCAACTTGTACTGTCTGTCTCYCACTGTAAAATGTAGCTAATATTTCACTGTGTCAGAATTTCATGCAAATKATTAACTCTGATGTGTTCTGGAAATGAAGAACAGCATCGTGCCACTGCTCACTGTTACGGTTGTTTAGAAGAATAAGAATGYAAATTGTTTTCTCCACTAAATGAAATGGAGATACTGTTCTTACTGAGTATATATGGAAATATATATATTTCCTAGGTGAGGTTCATATAGATTTTATTCCGCAACTGGCAATTCCTATTATCTCTTCCTGTAACACAGAGGTGAAAGCTGCTGCCGAGGAACCAGAACCTCCAAGAGTTACTGCAGCAAGTAGGAAGGTAGAGGTTGTCATCCAGGAGAGGAGAGATACAAAGCCTGGAGTGCCTTATGTCCGAGAGTGGGATAAAGGCAAAGGTAAGGAAATGTAGATTMAGGAACATTGTTRGGTTCACAATATGCWCRCTGCTACTTTCATTTCTATTTTGTSACAAAGTRTGGTAACACTGAGAAGCACTGAAATCTTTTCTGCCTCGGTACTGATGACTCTCCAGTGTCCATGGCAGTGACTGACAAGGATGCTTTAGCACCTGTAGCTGCTATAATGTCCCCATAATTTTTTCTTCTATATGAGTTACTGCATTTCTGGATGATTCAGACAGGCTGACAGAATGATAAATTCTGTAGTTCATAAAATGCACAGTGTGATCTTTTCTTGAACACATATGGCACGATACTAAAATATGATGCAAGCAGAGACCACTTCAATGCCTGTGCCCCATTCTGTAGCATCGTCCTTGTCACAAAGTGATGGCTGTCATCTAGATCCTTCTAATCCTTAACCCATTAATTCATTTTGCACTATTAATCTAAGCTCATGTGCATTCTTCTAGTCTGATGCCTGACTTCRGAGTAAAAGCAAACAAGGAATAGGCTAAGCACATTAATTCTCATCTTCTTTAGTACTCCTGTAAGGGCACTGCTCCTCTTCTGTGCAATATTGGTGTTTCCAGATCTCTCCTGGTTTTCACAGTTTTTATGTTCTGTTAACATTCTGAGGGGAAACTTTGTGATTCCCTTAAAACCCCAAACTTTCAGATCCTATCAATAAAACTTTATCCCTCCTTTCTGACTGGCCTTCAGACCTTGAAATCTATGCTAAATCTACCATTTTCCTGTTTCTAACAGAACTCATGTTTGGACAATGGGAAAAGAAACAGGAAGAACTTAGAGATGAGCGAGACCCAGAATTTGCACCACCTTCTGATTACTTTTTGGGACAAAAGAAAGATGACAGTTACCGAAGTCGGAATCTGAGCAGTTCTGAAACCTTCTCTGAAAAACTGGAAACTGAGAGAGCACAAAACCAACAGAGGCCATCGGTGCAGGGCAGCAGCAGCAGCATTGGAGATGTGCCACCGTCAGCACAGGCTTCCAACAGCAACGTTCCAGATAAGCCAGCATCAGCAGAGTCCACTGGCCGTGACACTCAGGGGGTGTCATCAGCAGAGGATGACAGCAGTGAAGATGAGGGCATGCTGCCACCCCCACAGGCTTATGGCTACGGTGCCCGAGGTGTGCCACCACCACTGAGGGGTTATGGCTACGGTGCCCGGCGTGTGCCACCACCCATGCCAGCCTACGGCTACGGYGCTCCCGAGGTGCCCTTCCCAGTGCAGGCTTACGGCTATGGAGCACCAGGAATGGTGCCACCAATGCACGGGTATGGCTATGGCACCCCCGAGATGCCCTTTGCAATGCAGGCTTATGGCTATGGCACACCAGGAATGCAGGCCTGTGGCTGCAGCGCTCAGGATGTGCCACCAGGAATGCAAACTTGTGGATGCAGCACCCAGGATGTGCCACCAGCAATGCAGACCTGTGGATGCAGCACCCAGGATTTGCCACCAGGAACACAGGCCTGTGATTGCAGCAGCCAAGATGTGCCACCAGGAATACACRCTTGTGGATGCAGCAGCCAAGATGTTCCACCAGGAACACACACCTGTGGCTGCAGCACCCAAGAAATGCCACCAGGAACAGACATGTGTGGTAGCAGCACCCAGGATGTGCCACCAGGAATGCAGCTCAGTGGCTGCAGCACTCAGGATGTGGCACCTCCAGTGCAGACTGACAGCACTGACACTRCAAATCAGGAACCACTGTACCAAAGTTTAGATGATATGCTGTCTTATTACAGACAAGTGACTTGAGCCAAGCCAAAGCATAAGCAAGAACCATGATCTGAAGAACTGAAACATAATTATGTGCTCGGCAGAATATTATTTTCCCACWTATGGGAAAAATAAGTTTCTGTAAGTAGAACAAAATAAATCTCCTGAACACCTAAGCTGTTTTACATCACAGCTATACTTTTGCCCTGTTGGTTGTTTTTTTTTTCTTGCCTCTTTACTAAAATTTAACTCTTTGACACTTATACCTGAACTTAAGGGTATATGAATTACTTGCTTTCAGGAGACAAACATCTTTAATTGGTTGCTCCCAGCTGTCTTCTGGTTTGGAGTACTACAAGTTCAGTCACATTCGTAGAAACAGCATGGAAATGGTAGGTCCTCTGCTGCCAAATACAGAATGATTTTGTTGCTTAATCTCCTGCCTTTTAAAAGTGCAGAATATTATCTAGTGAACAGTGGTGGTTCACATGGCCTCTGCATTCCTGAGGTCTTTATATAGCTCATAGTTCTGTGCAGCATTTTGGAGTGGAGACAATGCAGAAACCAGTAAATAATGGTTAGGCTAAAAATAAACACTTCCCTGAAGCAGATGTYTTGACACCTGAAATTACTGTCTTACTGGTTTAGAAAATCGTCTCATAATTCTCCAAATGTGTTTTTCTTGCATCAGGAGTTATATATATGGCTTTATTTAATACTTATTTCCCCAAAAACTGTTATTGGAGTCATTGAATACAAAAGCAGACCAACCTCTACCAAACGAACTTTTCTTTTGGAGTCTTAGTAAATGAGAACACTTACTTGCMATGTAGAAGATTTTTATTTCTGAAGGTAATTTAGATCACTCCACTTGTATTTTTAAAGCTAATACAAGGATAAGACCTAGAAAAGCAGGTTAGAATGGTCAACTGCTTAGATTGTTAAATGGCAGAGATAAAGTCAAACTAGTGAACATTTGAATGCAACAGTGAACTGGCCAAAGAAACAAAGCTGGTGTGTTCCTCTTGTGTACTTCAGTCAGATCTCAGGCTGCTCTGGAAGCCTGGTGAACAGCAAKATGTACAGTCTGACTGAAAAAAGACACTTCCTCAAATTCTGATTTAACCACAGTTCCTACATCACTGGTTTTTGTACTGGAATTTGCARAGCAGGTACAGTACATTACAATTATTGTTTAGATGAACCTCAGAATACTATACTGAAGTAAGATAATACCACTTTCCCCATTTTGAAGAAAATGAGAATGCAAAACATCTTGGAGAAGGTCACACCCAGTTTTCCAGGCTGGCTGACTTACGCTAGAGAAGTTTCCTCACAGAGTCAGTATCTGGAAGCCATTCAGATGATTTTCTTGGAACTGAACTAACTAAAGGGTGGACAAGTCTTTTCAAACTGTAAAGCTWGACTTGAATTCATTATGGCAATTGTGTCCTTCAATGGATTTCCCTACAAAGAATATTTGTGTCTATTTCACTGCTATTTTAAATGACATCCATTTCCTACTGCCTTTTGGACTTTTTTTTTCTGTGCACTTCAGACTGCGATAATTTTATGTATATCTATGATTTAGGAGTTACATTGTCTTTGCATTAGTTTAACATTGAGCTGGAGCTGCAGTAAGGAATGAAATGCCATTTATTACAAYGTGTTACATAGAAAGATACAATCAAAGTGTTCCTTTGTTCAGCTTCATTTCCACAGCCTCATATTAAACAGGAGGACTCTTGGCCAGGAGGGTGGTTCAGTGCCTACATTAAAGTTAAGCCTATTGAGAACARCTCTCCCACTGCAGTGATCTGTCACTTTGCCATTTGGTCTCCTTCCCTCTTGTCTTGCTTTTTGGCTGAAATGCTTTTTACATATTGTCTCATGCTGTGGAGCACACATCTCTGTTCACTGTCCTCCCCTCAGACCACCTCAASTTAGCTTGGCTGGGATCAGCAGCCTCATTCATTTCATTCAGTAATTCCTGGGGCAAACAATTCCTTATTGATACACTGCCAAAGTTTTATTTCTCTCGTGTTTTGGAGCATGTTGTCTCCGTCTCCCTCTTCCTCCYCATTTAAACCAGGTTCCCARTTYASCGACTTGCACACCAGTGGAAATGGRGGTGCAGSTGGGCAATGTTGGTAAGGATCTGCCACCATCGGTGTGTGACTGATAAAGTAAAGCCAACTTGTTCTCTCGCTCTGAGCACACACAACTGGGAGCACACAGTGGTTGTGCTTCATGTGCTGGAACTGCCCCAAGAGGTACCAGTGCTGGCTTGCGTTTCTTTCACTGTTCTCCACAGATCCAGGGGCAGTCCCTGCTCCGTATCTATGGCAGCTTTCTCCTACATCTTTGTGTGAATTTTCTCAGTGTCACCAAAAGCTGATTTATCCCCTCGTGGGGAGCACCCAGGGGTCTGATCTGCCTGTGAACCATTGGCACGTGAGCTGAGGCTGCTACACGGGGTAAAAACTAGGTGGCTGCAGCTCTGTCAGCTCAGGGGTCGATGCCCCATCGCTCGCTGGCTTCTGAGGGCTCAGCCACAGACAGACGGGAAATACAAACCGAGGTCCTTGCAACAAGAGCCGCCCGCGCCGAGCCGGGGCCGCGCCGGGGCCTCCCGCGGCGGGAAGCGCTGCGCATGCGCAGAGCGGCGGGGCCGGGTCCGCGCCCCGCGATTCCCGCGGCCGCCGCGCGGGGGCGGCAGAGCCCGGGGCAGGGCGGGAACCCCGCGCGCGGCCCCGCCCGGTCACGGCTCCGCTCCCGCTCCCGGCACGGGCTGTGGCAGAGCAAGGCCTGTCCCGCTCCCGGTCCGGGCCCCGGCACGGGCTGATGGCAGAGCAAGGCCTGTCCCGCTCCCGGCCCTGCTCCCGGCCCACGGCACCTCGGCACGGGCTGATGGCAGGGCAAGGCCTACCCCGCTCCCAGCCCTCGGCACGGGCTGATGGCAGGGCAAGGCCTGCCCCGCCTGGTCCCACGCACCCAGGGCGCCTGACCTTCCCGCCCTGCTCAAACGGAGCCTCGCGTACCCGGAGGAAGGAGGTAACGCCCCTGGCCCTCTAAAAATGTCTCTTTTTAAGAAGCAAACCCTCTTAGTAGCACGCTGTGCAGCGACAGCCAACACCTGCGCTCTCTTCCTCAGGAGCCCAGACTGCAGGAGCCCAGATTTCCCATATTTCCGCCCCTCGCCCCCCTCCCTGCCCGCTGCAGCCCAAGTGTCTGACTGTTCACAGAAGCCATTCCCTGCCTGCAGCCATCAGCTGCCCTCCCTGACAGCAGGAGCAGTCTCTGTCTATTACTCTTCAGTAATAAGGTCTTTCCATTCTTTCCCCTGTCACTCCTGCCTTGGGGACACCATATTCCTTCCTTCAAGTCTCCATAACCAGTGTGCAATCACTGCCATTCATTTCAAGAATTAAGTTACGGTCTCAGAAGCACTGTTCCCTCTCTTCTCCACCCCAAAGGCATTCCATGAGTGTGAAGGAGCTGTGATGTCAATATGTAGTTCAGGAAAACATGTAGTGACAATTTGTAGGACAAAGGCAAGTGTGTGTTCAGCAGGCAGTTGGACTGCAGGGCACAGCAATGTTCTTAAATAGGAACACAGAACTGAGTGTTGTTTTGGAGTGGCTGACCCCAAGGTGCTGGTGATGGAAGCATAACTCAATTTTTGTTTAGAGAAAACTTGCAGCTCTTAGGAGAGCACACACTGCTACAGCCACATCTCACACAACTGCAGCTAAACCTAAGCCTCCAGATTAAAATTCTGCAGATTTTAACACTCAGGCCCTGATTCAATTTTCAAAAGGAAGTAGAAACTGCAATTTATTTTCACAAACGACTACCAAACCAGCAAATGCACTCAGGCTCCCATATAAAACAGTAAAGCCATTTTTAAACAAAACCTACAGGTAAAGAGAAAATATCACATCTTAACAAAAAGGATTTATTATGACTAAACAAAATGTACAATGTTTCCCAAATGACAGAGTTTTTTCAAGACTCTCTGAAGTCTGCAGGTCCATTGAGTAGCTTGGTCACTTCTTAGCCTGCAGTTTGATCAAGCTACTTTTTGCCAGACTTCTTTATTCCACCACTGGCTGCCAAAAGAAAAAACACAGCTGGTTAGGTGAGTGTGACAGAGCTTAGCTACAAATTCAGTTCTCATAAAGCTGAATCCCCCCTCTAAACAGTCTGTACAGCCCASGGCCCCACTGGTGAATTGTTTCTGCATGTGTGACTGCCCTTATGTGGTTTTGATCTCACACACTTTACTCTGAACAGTGACTTATTTAAGATTAGAAACTAAATTTCTCCTGGAGCCAAATATGCTCAATAAATCTAATATAGAACTAAATATTCCAACATTCCAATACTTTGTTCCTCCATTGTTTATTTTTCGTACAGCAGGAGCACAGGTAAAATCAAATGCAAGGCTAAGGGAATAAAAGCACTGGTATCCCTAGACCAGAGCCTTCAGCTGGGATCAAAACTCTGCAGGAGGTACTGGAATTCCCCGCAGAGTCAATTATTGAAGACACTGAAGTGAAAAAAACACCAGGTATTGAYACAGCAACAAGAGTAGCATTTGTTGTAAATGCTGTTTTTCTCCAGTTGTGTCAGGTATGACCAGTGGGAAGGAAAGAGAACAGCAAGGCTGCACCAAGACAGGCTGCAAGGGCCTAGGGTCAAAAAACAGACTCTGCATTGCAAATTGATTCCAACAGCATTGCCTTGATAAGGCGCTCAGAAATAAGCTGACCCTGCCACAGTAACACAACAATCATTACCTGCTTTGGCAAGCATTAGACAAGGGCCAGGTGACTGACACTGAGTCTAGCAAACGGCAGAGCAATAATGGCAGGAAAGAACTCTGCAGAGATTGTGTGCTGAAGCACCGTACACAGAATGAGTTTAGGATGGTGAGGACAGAACAGAGGTTCAATGAATTCTTTTGCATCTGGCTGTAACACCAAAGACATTCCAAGTCCCACACCCAGCACATTTTTTGTATASAGATAAAACAGAGGAGTTAGATCAGTCTGAGATACACCCCAAGTCTGTGGGGCTGCATGGCACTTTCTTCAAGAGCACCAATAAGCTGTAATGTGAAAATGCAGATCTGCTGGCTAAGATTTAAAACATCAATCCAGACACTATGTCAGAGGACTCACTGACTGCCAGCAAAGCTCCCAGGTACAGAATGGGTTCTGTGAAGAATTACATTTCAACTACAGAGGAAGTCTGACCTCGATCTCTGAGAAGATAAGAGAGTCTGRAGCAAAGCAAATGGATAAACAGTCTTGTGAAAGTTAAGAGGATTCCCATAAAGATTAAATCCTTCCTCCCTGAYCTGCTGGGACCCTGAGGTTGTCATTAGGTATATGAACAAAGTGAACCCAGGAGACTTCATATTTTCACACAGCACCTGATAAGATTCCATAGCAAAGTGAAACTCTGTTGCTGTGGGATTGTCAGAAAGCTCTTTCTGCGACCTTTCAAAACTGAAAGTTTGATGAAGAATAGGAAACGAACTGTGAAGTTTAACAGTCTTTACAGAATGGAAGAGTGGTTAGTAAAGTGAATGGGCCACAGGTCAGAAACACCTGAYGGGAGCAGGCAGGGTGCACACTTGAACATCACCAACTGGATCATGACAAACACTGGAGGAGCAGAAGGTGAGTGCAGACTCACATGAACACTCTCTGACTGTCACTGAGACAGAGACTGGGCTCCATGGGCCACCAAGACACACCCTCTGAACTCACTTCAGTGACATCACGKATTTCACAGACACTCAGGCAAAGGGTTTGATACCAGACTGGTTTCCAGTCACACTTTTTTTTTTTCCCTGCCAAGAATCTCCTGCTCTTGAAAAAACACATCCTCTCAGAGGACAAGCACTGRATTTGTTAAACTTGGAGGACTGTGGCAAAGCCCACATGTAACACACTTGGAAAGAAAAGACTGGTGTGCTAAAAAATGCATAGAAATGTTCCTGCACGTCCCACTGGAATAGGTCAGCAAGCCAGACACAGTGTTTTGCCTGCTGAACCAGAACCTGCATCATATGGGGATGAAATTGCATAGAAAAGAAAAAAAACCAAAATAGCCTCTATTTGTTCCATATTCTCTGTATGCCATCAACTTACTTATCTATGTCAAATAACCAGAGGCACCTGCCTTTTTATGTTTGTCAAGCAAAAACTGAAATTTTTGAAGCCAGCAAGACTGCCATTTGTCCTGCCAGGATGGCACCTCACTTACCCAGAGGCCCTTTCCCAGCAGCTTTTGCTTTCATCTCCTCAAGTTTCTTTTGTTCCTCCTTCTGTTTTTGTTTGAATGCCAGATCCGTCTAAAGGAAAGAACAGCAGCATATTTTAACATCTCTTCCAAGAAAAATTACAAAACTGAGAAGCAATGAAAAACAAATGTAATGTTTCAGCAGCAAAAAACACCATGCTGGACCGAGGCAGGATGGCTGAATAATGCTAAATATGCAGAACATTGCAGAACTTTGATCAAGATTTTTGCTGTGCTACAGTATGATGACTAAATTTCAACTCTGTATGTTTGGTCTTTCTGGAAGGATCTCCCATGTTATAATTCCATTCTGAGATTATGATTCCTCTGACTGACAGATGTTTGCACTARCACCATTCATTAGCACGCCATCAGTRAAACATGGAGCCCAGCACACAGGCACTAACAAAAGTGTTTAGATTATTAAGAATACAAATACAATAAGGTTGCTTTTACCTACAGAAAAGCATTAATTTCAAAAATATTCTCCCGCACATATGTAATTTTTATTGGATTTAATAAATTCATTTATTAGTGAATCTAATGAGACTGCTGGCAAATTGCAYAGGCAGTGCAGCTATTGAGCATCCCTTCTAGGCCAGCCCCTAAAATCGGACCAAGTAAAACCATAACAGGAGGTCAGACACACTCTGCCCCTTAGATAAACATTCTTCACAGACTGAAGGCTGAAAAAGAGCACAGATTTTTAACCTGGCATTCAGGAMTTTGGGGTAACTGAACTGAGATTCCAGATTCTTCACCAGAAGAATCTGGAATCCAGTCCTTGGCTCATCTTTGTAACTGCAAAGCTTTCCTCTTRTTTCAGTTAAAGCTTCCCTTGCTGCAATGTATCCACAGTACTTCCCCTACCTCTCCCTCATAGAACAGAATATTCTGTTTCTCTCTCCAGGTTTTCCTGTCTCCTGTAGGCTAATGGATCTTTCCTAGTAAATCAACCCCCTGTCCCGCATTTATCCACTTTTTTCTTGCAATTTGTTGCCCCCAGGTGCTCATAGTATTGCAGCGTTGAGAGGGAAAAGAAATATTACATTATTTGACACACAAATGTTTATAACTTGGGATTCTTGTGAGCACTTAATTGGTTCTTCCATTTCTCTAACAATAAAGATTATTTAGAAAGATGATTTTTTTTTCTTTTTCAAAGAGACATTTTTCCTTTTCCCAAAAGTGGCACCTCATCCATTGTCCACTATGCTCAGAAATAGCAGYTGAAACCCATAATTAAATGTAAGGGTTCAGAGTATCTCTAATGTGCAATTCACTAGTACTTAATTTATCCAAACTACACAATAATCCCGGAGTTTGTGCCTGTCCCAGGCTCCTGGGAGCGCAGTGATTGATCGAATTCAGCCTGCAGCCTGATGCCTTGGCAAGGGCATTCCAAGCTCCTCTGTCAGCCGGCACCGCTGCATSCAGCAGGAACATGGGCRGGATGTCATCATGAAATCAGAGAATGRTTTGGGTTGGAAGGGATCTTGAAGATCATTTAATTKCAAAYCCCTGCCATAGGCAGGGATACCTTCCGCTTGACCTG